GCTCGCACGCTATTATTATTTATATATTATATATAAATGTATTATTATTATTTTTTTGTTAATTATTTTTAATCCAGAGAAAATTTTAAAAGAGAATAACCTTCTTAAAGAAACTGGAGCTTGTTGTTGTCCTTTAGATCTGTCAGCAACTCCGGGATCTCTCGTGTATGGATATGAATTAGTATCTAATGTATTGTTAATGTGACTCTAATCAAAAAAAGATATATTAATATATATATTTACTACAAGTATATGACAATTTAAGAATCTACCTCTAAAACAAGTTTAAGTTTTGGAACATAGCGAGAAATTTGATATCGAACATCATCTCCTGGTTTTTGACGATATTTTTTAATTTTTTTAGGAATTTTTCCAACTGGAGGCTATTATTAATAATTGTGAATATGAATACTTTCCATATATATGTAATATATATATGTGTGTATGTGTTAAAATACCCTGAGTAATTTCACACCAAAGAATACAAGGTTATTGATGGCTTCATTTTCTTCCAAAGATATCCTTGCATATGCTAATAATTTTATTCTATCTTCTTCTAATACACCATTCTTATACATCATATAAAGCATAAGAATCCTAACTTTATTAATAGAACTATTTGTTATATTTAATAATGAAAATAAATAAATTATTTAATTAAATTATTATTAAAATATATTTCCTAGAAATAAAATAATATCACTATTAACTATTAACTATTATTATTAATTATTATTTAATATTTCTAACCTGATAACTGGACTATCTAATAGTGGTGCCATATCTTCAATTAATGTTTTTGGATGTAATCCTTCATGTGAAAACCCTGTAGCACAATCCTAAGATAAGATATATAGTGGTTACTATACTATGCTTCAATTTCAAAAGATTTTACATACTTGTTCAATTGATGAAACATCTTCAAGTTTTTCTTTTTCAAATAAACTCATACATTCTTGTGCAATGTTTAAATGCACAGAAAACTAAAATTAATTAATCATTAATTTATTAGTAATGTTAATAATAATAATAATAATAATAATAATTATTATTA